ACAACAGATATTGCAATACTTTTCTTTACTTAAATGGGTACATTGAGTCCCAATATTGCTCAAATGTATTATTGTCGACACCACAAGCTGAGGCTAAGGTTTAGGTTGTTTTTTTTTACAAAACTTTGCTGACATTAGATACTGCACATAAAGTCTCATCCAACACTGCTATGGTAACAATAAGACTAGACTTCTCTATTTCCAGCAAGATACCTCCTGCTAACGATGCTAACTCGGTACCATCTTTACGTAGGTGCTCACAAGCCATCACAATCGAGCAGTAACAAGTTAAGACGACATGAACAGATTTGTAATTACTGGCTGATTTTGGAATTCTCAATTCATGTTCTTCCAATGACTTCTGAACCTTGTGCAAAATGTGTTCATGCTTTGATGACTTGGGGAATAGTAAATATATGTCTTTGATGACAGAAGAACCTTCTTCACAGACGTGATTTTACTTCTAGCACTGGTTGAGGCTAAAGATGAAAGATGGGTCTTACAATTTAAGGAATTTCCCTTCCTGCTTTCTCTGAAGATCGCTTGTGCACAACACTTTTTTTTTCCTGAAAAATTGGCAGCACCACCGAAAGTGCAAAAACTTGTTTTCTTGTAATCCAGGTTCATTTTCATCAGTTCTCTGTCAATTGAACTCGTAATGTTTTTGAATCAGTGCTTGCTAGATTAGCAATATTCAAAAATTTTTCTTTTACTTCACCATAGTCAGTCACATAACAAATCAAAATTGACAACTGACTCACATTGTTGATATCTGACAACTCGTCAGCCATTATAGAGTAATATTTGTTATTCAGTTCCAAGGTGTCACAATCATATAGAACTTCAAGGTCACAAACTGTAGCTTTGCTTACATATGTCGAATGGTCGCTCTGATTTTCCACCCATTGCTTCTGAGAGTCATTGAACAAGTAAAGTATGAACCGATTTTTTTAAATTCCTCTTCACGAAGCTTACGCATTGCTTGAGCATGAGCGGGTTTCTCGAATTTAGAATGTTTATTGACCTTCTAGGTATTCCCAATTGCTTTTTTGAGCACTGCCCATTCTATGTTGTGCAGCTAAATCATTTTTCAAAAATTCTTAGCAGTACTTACAAAATGTCCCTTTAAGGGATGTATCGGGAAATGGCCATTCATATTTCTCTTTCCATTTTTTCTGAAATTTAACTGAAGAGGTGAGGAAGTTACAGCAGTAGGGGTTGACGATTCAACAAAACTAGTTCCAAGACTTGGCTACTTAACTTAAGGATCACTACTTGTGGTGTAGGTTTCTTTGTAACAAACTGTCGATTATAGATTTCTGCAACATACTTCACCACTGAAAAGTTCAAGTCACAATGTTTAATCAGAATCTTAAATATCACACAAAACGACCAAATAATGTAAAAACACTACTATACAAATAGTTTCCACACATGCTTATAAAGGACAAACCAGTTTAATAGTGCATACACACTTCAAGAAATTTGAAGAATGTTCGGTATTAAGTCTATTTTTAGCTTATACAATCTATTTGTATTTTTGGATTCTTTGATACAAGCTCCTCATTCTTGCAATACACATTGGCCAACTGTCAAGATCAAACACACCTTTCATCAAGAAGTCACCAGAATTTTGCATTATTCTCTTTGTATAATTGTTGGATCCAGGTGTTTGATGAAATAATATTAAATCCTGACTCATTGGTCATGATATTCATTCGGTTGTTAACATCTCTCTGTAAAAAAAAATTACATTGTAAAAACCGACAAAATAGTTAAAATACTTAGGGGGAATTTTTGTATAGAGGGAATTACCCCCCCTGTAAATCTCTTTTTCTATTCTGTTAGTTCAAAATTAAGGATGCCTAGCACAGATAACTCTTGTATAGCTTTGTGCAAGAATTCAAAACTGACCAAAACTCAACAACTTTACCCCTTACTCTGAAATTTTATGATCTTTACCTTGGTAAACCATTGTGAAATGGTAAAGATCATAATATTTCACAATGGTTTACCAAGGTAAGGATCATAATATTTCACAATGGTTTACCAAGGTAAGGATCATAATATTTCATAATGGTTTACTAAGGTAAAGATCATAATATTTCACAATGGCTTACCAAGGTAAAGATCGTAATATTTCACAATGGTTTTCCAAGGTAAATATCATAATATTTCACAATGGTTTACCAAGGTAAGGATCATAAACAATGGTTTACCAAGGTAAAGATCATAATATTTCATAATGGTTTACCAAGGTAAAGATCATAATATTTCACAATGGTTTAGCAAGGTTAAGATCATAATATTTCACAATGGTTTACCAAGGTTAAAATCATAATATTTCACAATGGTTTACCAAGGTAAAGATCATAATATTTCACAATGGTTTACCAAGGTAAGGATCATAATATTTCATAATGGTTTACCAAGGTAAAGATCATAATATTTCACAATGGTTTACCAAGGTAAAGATCATAATATTTCACAATGGTTTACCAATTTGAGCTTTTGAGCTAGTTTGTTAAAGATAATTCAAGACAAAATGTGTATGGAAACTGAAGGTAAACAAAAAAGATTTCAAATAAGTTCAGTAAGATTTTCTTAAACAGTAAATCTAATTTCATATAATAAATTTGGAAATGAACTAAGTTAAACATTAGTCATGTTACTATCCTGTGTGATGACTAGGATAATTAAGAAAATGTCACATAAAATGCAGTTTTAATATAGTGTGATAACATTTAAACCTTGGGGATAACATCATTCAAATCTTTTTTCTTGAGAAACGTCTTTACACCAAAGTTAGATCTTCACTTTTTATTTTTATGATTGTTCGTTATTACAAGTTTAGTAAATGCTTTCCATGCATTTATCTTTTCAATAATTTTATCTCTTCTGGTGTTGCTTTTACATTAATATAAATTTTTACAAGTATACTTTACTCAATTATTAGACTACACACTTTTACACAAGTTACACTTCTTCTCATAATATTTCACAATGGTTTACCAAGGTAAGGATCATAATATTTCATAATGGTTTACCAAGGTAAGGATCATAATATTTCACTCTCATGGAATGTTTATTAATCACTTCAGCATAGTATTAAATAATCTTTAACAGGAGCACCACCTACATGGAGTAGCACAACTGACCAGAGCAATAGCTCGTGTACTAGTGCGAGATCAAGTAGTATCAGTTCCTCAGATGGGTACTGCTATGCTGAAGCTGATTTTGCTAGTGCTGTGGCCAGAGCTGCTCAAAATGCAGGCTACGTGGTAGATGGAACAACTGTAACCAATCCTTTTACTGGTAAGAATGGTCCAAAGATGCATGTGTAATAAACGCTAAGACTAATTAACCTGTAAACAGTAAACATATAATTTAATACTGTAGCTTTCATAACGAATGGATTATAGTTTCACAGTATTCTGGTATCTAATTGTTCTTTCTCTCAGGATCAGGCAAAAAGCACATCTCTCGGCAACGAGCCCCTAGACCAGTAAGTCCATACAGTACTGACAGTAGCGTTAATAATACAATACCACACAGGGCAGAATATCCAAAACAGAGAAAGAAACATTTACATCATGAAGCCAAAGCATGTAAGTGTTTTTAACAAAAATATAATGTACAGAACTTTAGAAGTAAATGAATTATATATGATAGACTGTTTGAATATTCTAGTTGTTTTGTCTAAGGTTCAAGGTATTATTATTATGAATAAACTTTTCAACTTTATTTCTAACTTTGTAAGCAGCACTTTGGAGCTATGGGTGCATTATATGACCACTAGTCAAATTCCAATAAAGCAGGCAGTGGATACTGTTTACTAGCTACCTTGCATTATATGACTGCTAGTCAAATTCCAATAAAGCAGGCAGTGGATACTGTTTACTAGCTACCTTGCATTTAGTCACTGCTAGTCAAATTCCAATAAAGCAGGCAGCGGATACTGTTTACTAGCT